GAAAAAGTATCTCTAAACTGATAACAGTACAGAAAATTGAAATAATTTTTTCTCTCAGACGCTGCATATTAGCGATATATTACCTTTTTTACATTAATAAAATGTAATGATGTTATATACCGCATTTTCTCAATACTTTTAACAAAAAAAAATATAGAAAAAAATAGAATACTGTTTCTGTACTCTTATTTATCCCTGTTTGGATGTTTTAGATAATAAATAAATTGTTTATCTTGGATTTAAAACATTTTATTTCAAAAAATAACTTGATCCAAATTTAAAACTTTAGTCCAAGGAAGCTACCATTTTTTTCTGAACACCCTGTATAATCCACAGCAACCGTAGAATACGTCATTGAAAACAACCAAAGTTTACTTTGCAATTTTTTACAGTAATGGTAAACCGTTGGTCTTATATTTTTGGTATACCTTTATATCCTTTACGAACTACATACTGTTCGTTACAACTCTAAATTGGTTGTCTATTTGTAAATTTTTCAGTCCTTGATTCCTTTTTAAATCTTTTTCAGTATACAAAAGAGGTGCATTTAATACAACTACACAGTTCTTGGACGAAAACCAAGCTTTCCGTTTTATTAATTCCTCTCTACATTTGACAGACAAAAACAAACGTATTACGCTATTTTGCGGCCAATTAAACCAATTACCGAAATCTACACACTATCTGCCACGCACTGCGTTGGCTGCAACAGGTATACCTACCAGTTGGCAACCCGCCATCTGACATCACCTCAAATCCTGGCAATATTTTCCATTCGAACACGAAACAGTTGACATTGTTGTCGATTTGCTGTCTCAACCGTCTCGTCAGATTACAATGTAAGTAAAACAGTGTTAGATAATCAGTAGTAATTTAGTGTGGTGACTTGTAGAAAATGCTGGAATTGCAATATGAACCTAGATATGGAATAATTGATTCCGAGTATTGGCCATACTCGAAGTACGTCTCTATAGACATCCCTAACTATAGAATTACCAGGCCCTTAGATTATTACGACAAATGGCCGTCGTTTTATCATATGTACTTGCCTATTCCCGAGTATAGACGGTACTTGAACAATTTACTTCTAAGAGACTTACGGGTAAGAGAAATAGAGAAAGCTAATGTTTGAGAACAAATTTGAAGTTTGAAAGTAATAAAAATTGTGTTGTCTTAGTTACTTCTCGTAAATATTGGATTAATGTAATATTTTGTTGCTTTCGATTTCATGCATGTAATAGAGCAGTGTCATGTTACCAATCTTTTACCTTTTTAGTTGAGACAGCACGGCAAATACGTGCATACCTACTGGTGATGATCAAACGAGGAAATAAAGTACAAAATATGATATCCTTATACATTTTTCTTCAATAAAAATATGCTGCAATTTACAGTCGTTTTCTGATTTTAGTGAGAACCTAAATATTTATAAAAGCGTTTCCAAAATAACCGTGCTCTTAGTCACGCAGTGATTCAACCGGCAGGTATGTGTGAAATAACATATTTTCTATAAAAATACCATTACTCAGTTCTTGGTGCAACGAGAGGCGGGGCGTTGTGGAAAATCATGGCAAAGATCCAGATTTTAAACGGTATATTGTCAGGTGCTCCCTGTGGGTTAGGTAGTCTGTCGAAATCAGTGCGAGATCTTGTGATATTCCTTGGACGTGGTTTTTGTAAGTCGGAATGTGAATTCTAATTGTATTTCTATATGAGTGTGTGAGAAAGAAACTTCAAAATTTGGAGGATGATCTGTAATTTAACTGAAGATTAATTTTCTACTAGCTAAAAATATTCTTATAAGAAATACTTAAATAATTCATTTCACATACCATTTGACATAATAAATTTGAGAAATTACTTATAATTTTGCTTAAAAATACATTATCATTATCTTTTTCTGTGAAGCGTTGTTATAAATGTTATAAATAAAGGGAATTCTATTGGTATTGTTGAATGCAGTTTGTATTAATTATAAAACATTTTTACGATCTATTTGCACTAGATTATCCATACATTTATATTTAAATAATGCAAATTTTGAAAATTCTATTTTCGTGTGTACTAAATTCTTAGAATTCCAGTTTCAAGAAATAAATAAATGAAGTATGAGTATATACAAGATTTAAACATATGCAGTGTGTAATGGTTACCCCAGAATATTTTCTGTACACATATTCTCAATTAAAATAGGTTGATTAATCTTGTAGTTGTAAATGCCATTCATTTTTTATTTTTGCATAGATTCTTTAGGTGTTTCAAACAAAAAATTGAAAGCATTAAATCAGCGCAAAATCTCTTCTCACACTGTCATATATCAATACCGAAACGTGTTCAAATCAAAATTAATATTTCTATGGGAACGTTTCTAGAAAATGGTATACTTTGAAGATAGGTGGGACCCCATTCTGGGCTATAACTATACATACTTCCCCGATTCGAAGTACTTCAAAAATTACAGATTCTCTCCACCAATCAGCTGGTGGGACGATTGGTCGCATAGATCTCGCGTTTGGTTTCCGTATTATTGGTCGACGCGCAGGCTCTTCCAACACTACATGGATTACAAGCCGTCTGGACGTTCCCTTAGAGAACAACGCGTAAGTGGTTTCTTCTGATAAAGAATTCGAGTGTCTTAATTTTTCGTCTATTTCAGTTGAGGAACAATCTGTACTTCTAAATTCTATTCAAAATGGGGAAGACGTTGCTTGATGACAAAATCCAACAAAAACGGCCGGTAAAGATTTTACATTACAGTCTGTAACAATGTGATAACGATATAACTTATTTTTGTTATACATTATTTTTTTAAATAAATACGTGTCTCTACATTGGTGATTTTAGTCGTTTCGTTCTAGCGAGTTGTCCATATTCGCGCAACTGTAAAGAAATATACATACTTGGTAGTTTCTGATATGTAAATTAAACTTCTGTAAACACATAATAACAATATGAAAATTGAAAAAATTGGTACACAAAATATGTCAGGATAATCAAAAACAAATTACTGAACGTCAGCCATTCTATTAATAATATATTGGATAAACCTGTATACTACGAGATACTATTTTGGATATTTTGACTTGAACTGTTGTGAATGAGATCTAAATGATAATTATTATTTGATTTAGATGCAGGAAGACTAAGTACCTCATTATATTAATAAGGTAAGAAAATTTAAAAACAACTCCGTTACATAAATAAATACCTCGGTATATTGTTAAGTGACGAATATGAATTTTTTAAGGTTCTTTCGATTTTTCAACGACTAATACGATAAAAACGAGATGTTACACACAGTGGTAAGTTTGAGAATATTAAGATACAACACAAATAACACAGATGTTCTTGAAAATCGAAATGAAAACTCTTAGTAAAAGTTTCTCCAATAATATATTTTTTAAAGTCTTACAGATGTTGGTATACATATTTCTTTTCTGAGTCGAAAAGTTTGTCTAACAACTGCTGTACAATTTAAGTTTTTAAATTCACCACATCAAAATTTAATAAAAGTTTAATAAAAACGGAGATTGGGTTAGGTGGAACAGCAAATACTTACAGGGTGTTTCTTTAATGTTGAGAAAAACTTGAGAATTGATGCAATTGAGAAAAAAATCACCGCAGAAAATTAAGGGTCTTTTGTTTTAATTCATTTCCAAAAAGTCTGCTATCGGAGTTACACCCCCTAAAGGGGTAAGTTAAAGTTTGGTTTTTATTTTATTTCTCACAGTTGTTACTTAAAATAATAAATAATAATTTTAATAAAATTCATTCTAAAGATCTTAGAAGCCTTATCGGTATTTGTGCAAAAAATCGAAGATTGTGCTCTAGACATTCTTTCTTGCAACCGGTAAAAAGATACTTGTACACGCTGCATGTAAAAAGATAATTTTTAAAAATACTTCAAACTATTAGTGCCTAATAATGCGTGAGCAATCTTTCCAATAATTGTTGTAAGTTACCTTCGATATCGTTAAGTTCTTCCATTTACGGAGTAACTCTTTGAGAGTGCCTTATTTTATAAGCAGTATATTTTATAAAACTTTCGCTTTCACTAAGACACTGACGTAAATGACTAACCATTGTATGATACGGGGAATAACGCATAAACAATGTCGCACATTTCACTATTTGTTAATTCAATATTTTAAAGGCCGTAAGTTGTTCACGAAAACATCTATTGTATTGAACGACTTAAAAGATGTGCAATACCTAACAACTGTTGACAGTTTTTAAGAACAATTGTTTAGAAAACGAAAATAATGTGGTAAAAAAATAGTAAATTATTTAATTTTCATCAGTCTAAAATGAAAACTAAATTGTGCGCTACCTACTTTTAATGTATTTTTTGTAATACACATGTATTTTTTCTTTGCTAAAAAAAGTCAAAAATGACTAGAATTAACAGAATACAATAAAATATTAGGTGCTGCAATTTCCAACGCCTTCAGAGGATCGCAGATGATTAAAAGTATCGATGTAGGAAAGCTTTTGATGAGATAAAGTAACATCCCAAATTGCATTCTTCTACGTTTCTCCAACTGGAAGAAATAAAATTGAACAGAATTTTATCGTAACCCTTTAAAGAGGTGTAACTCCAATAACAGACGAATTTGGAAATAAGTTTATATAAAAGACCTCCTTACGTTTTGGCAGGGAATATCAATATTAAAGAAACCTGTGCAAAATCTCTTTTCATTTGCTTTCAATTATTTCCATCTAATTCCCGATTAAAACTAATTTATACTTTAGAAAATTTAGAAACAATCTTCAGGTAAATATTAAAACTGATCAATTATTCAATACTCAACTAGGAATATAGGAAATAATATAATTACGTCTTTACCAAGAGTTTTTCGAGGAGGTGGTATATTAAAAAATATTAATTTACACATATTATACTGTAATAACATTGAAATCTATTAAAACCCTGTTGGAGTGCTAGTTAATGAACTGATTCTTAAACAACTGAATTAACTAACGATATTTAACTATTTCAGAGAACAGTTTATTTGGATTACCCATATCCCATTAAGGCAGTTGATTATCCATACTATCCGTATTCGTATAGAACTTACAGGCCTCTTTCTCTATATTACGATTACTACTGGCCCTTGAGTAGCTTGAACCGCTACTACTGGCCTTACTATCCCTACTACAGATACCTGTATTATAAATACACCCTTCCCTCCGATAGATATTACTATTTGAAAGGCGTAAGTATAGTTTATAGGTTTCACGCCATAAGCAGTACCTTTCATATAACACCATCACACACCAAATATCACACTAATATAGAACTTTTTCTAACTATTTAGTTTATTAGGCCTACTTCACAATGTAACTGTAAGGTTATTCCAATGATATCTGAAGATAGTCCACTAAGCTGAAATGTTAGAAATATATTTTATTCTTTACTTATTTTAATAAGGTTTAAACCTATTTGTACATTACACAGAGTATTTTACTTAACGATAAATCTCCTACAACTTTCATACGGGTTGTCTGATTGATCATACTTGACATCCTGGAGCAAAAGGACATGGTTGAACTGATGAGAACAATTGCATTATTGTAAATACTGTATATTGTGTATTGCTTATTACTTTTCCAGATGCAATTCAAACGGAATAATTTTAATTTATTTGAATTGGAATGTCACAGTGACATCAGGTTTGATATGTCTATCTCTAGTTGTAACAGTTATGTCAAAGAGTGTGTTACTAGCATAAACCTTATAAACTACTACTACTACTAGGTCTATGGTTACTAGTGAAGTGAGTTACACTGAGAGAAATAAAACACTGTGCTTTTGACAAACTCTTTTGACTTTCACTTTACTAATAGAGATAGATCGATCATGAATTATGTTACTTCAATTGCAAGAAAGCACTCTATTTAAATAAATAAAGAGATACAATTTAAAAAATAAATAATCAAACAATCCGTTTAAAATAAATATGTGATAAAAAAACCAGTGCGCATAGCAATCGAGTACTATACACTAACAATATCAGTAAATACATTTGCCAGTATTCGAGTAGGGTTATACCTGGAATAACATTTATACCAAGTAAAGACAATGTCGTAGAAAGAAATATAACAATAAACGCAAACTTTTTACAATCTTGTGTGCTATTGACAATTTCAGTCCATAAACAGTAATTGGTTGAATTTTGAAACTCGGTATCTCACTTTAACCATAAGGTCAAAATAAAGACCTTCCAATTTAGCTCATATTTACTTAATATTGGCACATTTCTGTCATGAAAAGGCTCTGTAAAATAAAGCGTCACATTTGCATGCTGCAATTGGTATGATAATCGAAGTAAACTTAAAGGCTGATTTGGTTTCTCTATTTTAATCTAAGCACCTCCTGCGGTCATATGTAACTGTGGCAAACCCATTTTTTTCTTTAATTATGCGACACAACAAGTTTTGTGCACCAGAATTTTGCTTTCACTTAATGCTTTTATTATATATTAACATTTTAGCATTCCAAGAAGATATTGAAAATCATTCAAAAGAGAGAACGATAATCCCTTTTCTTTCATCTGTAATACTTAATTTCAAAATTGTGCATGATTTTGGCAGCGTCAATCTCAGCACACTTCTATCTGATTCTATAAATTAATTTTAATTAATTTATTTAAATGAATTTAAAATACATAATTTACAAAAATGTACAAATTTTTGTAAATTATATTATGTTTATTAAGAAAGGGATGATCCAAATTTATTTCCCAAGGTCATGTCTTGGAAATTGTAAGAATAAGTATATAATTATCAAAAATGAAAGAGGAAACCACATTCTAACAATTTCTAAGAATTTAGATTTGGGAATTCCACATCCTCCCAAACACCCATTTAAATTCATTTTATTTGCAGAAAATGATCTTTGTTAGAGAACCAATTAGCGGCCTTCTAGAATACAGACTGTACCCTACAGCGCCGTATCTTCGCCACAAAGTTTATAAGCCTTTAAGTTTATATTGCGATTATTACTACCCCATTAGGTCTTTGTACTGGAATTCTTCATACTGGCCGCTATACAGATCTGTCAGTGATTTTCGTAACGACTTGCCAAGTGAGAGAGGCACCCGTTTGCAGAAAGTAAGTATGTCTGGTTTAAATTTTTGATGGACAGCTTGCACTTAAAATTATAGCAAGCGTCGATTATGAAGAAGATGGGAAATAAACCAATTTATACTTGACCACACCTCAAATTTTGTTATTTATCTATTGTAAATAATTTAAGATAATTATAAATTCGATCCTAACATCATTTTTAGTTGCTAGCTAATTAATTAATTTCTATCATCAATCTGATTATACAGAGTGGCCAAATAAAAACGAAACAGCCATTTTCAGGAACTGCGTCAAGACTGTAAAAAACGCTCAGACCCGTCGATTTTAGATTAAAGGGGGACATTTTTTGCTGGTATTTTTGACTCCGCCACTTTCACCCCTAAGCAAGAGTAAGCATCACCTCAAAATATTTAAATGGCATTGGGGGTTGAGTAATATTTCTTTTGAAAGCTCTTACAATTCTCTTTACAACAGACTTTAAATTTTATAATTCCGCCCAATACTTATTAGGAATTTTGATTTTAAAGTTGAAACTTATGTACAAACAATTAGTAACGGTAAAAATGTCAGTCATTCGAGTTAAGTACGCCAATGGTATAAATTTAGTATTTCTTGCGTTACATTGGTTTTTGGCGATTTGTTATCACTTTCGTAAAAAAAAACACAATTGTAAAAAACAGAAATGAATGCTATACACACACAATGAACGTAAAATTAGTGGATTCCAAATTATTTTCTAGTATTATTTGGAAGCGTTGGTTGGTAGTTTATTTAATTGTGTTTTTGAAAATTAAACACTATGGTTTATTCCATTGCGGAAAGGGTAGATATCATTTCGCTTTACTTTATGAACAATAAATGTGCGAATAGAACAGCTCAGCTATTTAATGAACAACATCAAGATCGACATGTCAGGAGGAAGTATGTTCTAGAGTTAGTAAAAAAATTTCAAGAGACAGGGAACGTAGCCAATAAAAAACGAGAAATTGAAAAACCTATAGTTAATGAAGCTAGTGAAGTTGCAGTTTTGGGACAAGTTCATCTTGATCCTACATTAAGTACGAGGCAGCTGGCATCTGTGTCTGGGATCAATCGAACTAGCATACAAACCATTTTGAAGAAGAATAAATTCCATCCATACAAAATACATTTAGTCCAGGAACTTCATGAGGATGATTATGACCGCCGTTTGCAATTTTGCGAAATAATGAGTGAGCGAGCAGGGAACGATCCACAGTTCCTTTTTAACATCTGTTTTTCTGATGAATGCAGTTTTTTCTTGAACGGGACGGTAAATCGTCACAATTGCCGCTATTGGTCCGATTCAAACCCAAGAGTTTTTCACGAGGTGCATACACAGCAACCGGAAAAATTAAATGTATGGGCTGGAATTTTCGGTGACCGGCTGGTGGGTCCTTTTTTTCTACCTGGTAATTTGACTGGCCAAATGTATTTGCAATTACTGGAAGACGCTATTGACCCTGCCTTGACTGATATTATTGAAAATGTTCCAGAGTATGATGAAGATCATTTGATTTTTCAACAGGACGGTGCTCCTCCGCATTATGCGTTAATTGTCCGTCAGTATTTGGACCAACGTTTTCTACGGAATTGGATTGGGAGAAGAGGCAGCATTGAGTGGCCTCCACGATCACCGGATTTATCGCCCCTTGATTTCTTTTTGTGGGGATACCTAAAAAGTAAAATCTATAAAACACAGCCAGCGTCGCTGGAAGATTTGCGTCAAAGAATCGTCAACGAATGTCATCGAATCACTCCGGAAATGCTTCGGAATGTGCGCGAACGTTTCGAACAAAATCGTTATTTTTGCATGGAAGCGGGCGGTCATCAGTTTGAACATTTAATCAAGAAGTAAGTAAGCAACTAAACATAATTTAAATTTTAAAATGTAAATTTTTTCAAAGTATTGGGCGGAATTATAAAATTTAAAGTCTCTTGTAAAGAGAATTGTAAGAGCTTTCAAAAGAGATATTACTCAACCTCCACTGCTGGGTAATGCTCACCCTTGCTTAGGGGGTGAAAGTGGCGGAGTCAAAAAATATCAGCAAAGAATGTCCCCCTTTAATCTAAAATCGACGGGTCTGAGTATTTTTCTACAATCGTGACGCAGTTTCTGAAAATGGCTCTGTTCCGTGTTCATTTGGCCACCCTGTATGTATAGTAGTTGACAATTGGTTTGTCTCTTAAAAAAAAACATCAGCAACAAAGCGTTTGCTTGTATATAATATGATTTTACAGAGCCTTTAAGATACAGAGATCATCATGATGATTCACAATATGGCACTGAAGCATGAAATTGTGCTGAATTGTTGAAAAACAATATTTATCTTTACAAGAAATTTCTAGCAGGCTTGAAACTGTCATGACAAAATGGTATCTACAAAAATATTTGTCAGCTAATTTAACATTAACAGTTTTTATCATAACATCTCATTAACATGGGATCTAGAGAGAAAAAAAAACAAAATAGCAAGAAAATTATACTTTTAATGAAGTAGAAGCCTAAAAATAACTCAAAATATCATGTAGTACTAAAAATTGAATTCCTGTTTAATTTTACCAATCTCTGTTAATAAAAGGAAATCTTGAAGCTCGAGGCTCCCGGCTTCCTTAAAGACATGTCTCGTCCTTTTTAATTAACTATTACGATAATAATTAATTTTTTTCCATTACAGTTTTTTAACAGGATAAGATATCATCTGAATAATATCTGAGCGTAATAAATTTTGCCAGACAAACTTTTTTACTAATGTTGTGATAAATAAGAAAAAGGAAGGACTTTGGAAATGACTGGGGATAAAAAAATCTAATAATTAAGCTTAGGCCCGACTACATCAGCATTATTTAAATATGCGCTTCTTTAAGTGATCTAAACAGTAATTTAGGGTTTAAAACATTTTCTTTGAAGATCTCTAGTACATTTCCTTAGATTTTTAAAAGTAGTGCTTAAAACATATAAATATTAGTTTTTTATTTCAGCCTAGCTTAACATGTAAGTAATAGTAGTGCAAACGGCCATTCATGTTTGTAAGTTGTCTTGTTATGTATTTTAAGTTATTGAATTTAAATAACCTTAACCAAATTCAGAGAAAGATAATGTCTTTGACAGTGCGATGGGAATAGTGAATATTTAATTTTCTAAAACAAAAATAATTATTGCAGGCTTTTAAGAGAAAGGACGTTGATAAATTGACTTTTCAGAAATTAATGGCACAAAATTAGATTTCTATAGAACTCTGGCAAATTAAATTTATGAGATTTAAAGGTCTGGTAACTAATTTTACAATTTATACAGGGTGATTCATTAACAATGGGAAAGTGGAAAGCTGAAGATACTACACGTGAAATGGTGACCATTGGCGCAAACATGCCTTATCCGAAAGTTGATAGTTTCGGAAATACAGGGTGTTGAAAGTTAAAATTTTAAATCGTTTTTTTGCGATTATTCTGAAAATATGTAGGTTAGGAACTTGAAAATTTGTGAAACTATATTTTTTAGGCGACGAATAAGATGCGTGTTGTAATTTCAGCATTGCTCATAGAGGGCGCCACTTATGACCAATTTTACCGAAAATTTAGTTAATAACTTTTTACCCTGTATGTCTAACATGAAACTTGATTCAAAACCTGAAAGAGCAATCATTTTTCCATTAATTATGTATTCTTGTTTCATTTCGGTATCTCGATCCGTTTTCGAGAAAAATCGATTTAACGAACACTATGTTTTGATAATACGAGAAATTAAAAGCGAAACAAACCAAGTGTTTCTTCGTGTTATTACAACAATTAACAATAAAACAAATAAAATACGTAATTATGATTTAAAGTAATTGTTCGAAGAATCCACCGTTGACACTGATACACTTTACACGTTTTCTGAGAGATCTTCGAGTTTGAAACAACATATTGGGATTGCGTCTGACTTCGTTGGCAGCGATTTGTATTCTTTGCCACAACTCTTCACACGAGCCAATAGATTCTTTGTAAACTATATCTTTCATTCGAGACCAAATAGAAAAATCAAGAGGATTGAAGTCCGGACTTCTGGATGGCCAAGCAAAAATGCTTACATGGCCAATCCAGCGATTTGGAAAAACTGCATCTAAATATGCACGCACTGGCCAAGAAAAATGCGGTGGAGCTCCGTCGTGCATGAACCACATGTCTCTTCTTAAATAAAGTGGAACTTCTTCAAGCCGTGGAAGCATTTTTACTTGGCCACCCAGAAGTCCGGACTTCAATCCTCTTCATTTTTCTATTTGGAAGAATCTATTGGTTCGTGTGAAGAGTTGTGGCAAAGAATACAAATCGCTGCCAACGAAGTCAAACGCAATCCCAATATGTTGTTTCAAACTCGAAGATCTCTCAGAAAACGTTGTGTAAAGTGTGTAAATGTCAACGGTGGATTCTTCGAACACTGACTTTAAATCATTATTACGAATTTCATTTGTTTTATTGTTAATTGTTGTAATAACACGAAGAAACACTTGGTTTGTTTCGCTTTTAATTTCTCGTATTATCAAAATATAGTGTTCGTTAAATCGATTTTTCTCGAAAACGGATCGAGATACCGAAATGAAACAAGAATACACAATTAATGGAAAAATTATTGCTTTTTCAGGTTTTGAATCAAGTTTCATGTTAGACATACAGGGTAAAAAGTTATTAACTAAATTTTCGGTAAAATTGGTCGTAAGTGGCGCCCTCTATGAGCAATGCTGAAATTACACGCATCTTATTCGTCGCCTAAAAAAACATAGTTTCACAAATTTTTAAGTTCCTAACCTACATATTTTCAGAATAATCGCAAAAAAAACGATTTAAAATTTTAACTTTCAAACCCTGTATTTCCGAAACTATCAACTTTCGGATAAGGCATATTTGCGCCAATGGTCACCATTTCACGTGTAGTATCTTCAGCTTTCGATTTTCCCATTGTTAATGAATCACCCTGTATACTTACAGTCGAAATTCCTGGCAGATGTTTAGGGAAACCGAGTATACGTATATTATACCTATATTATGCAAATTTGCTTTGGTTGAAGTAATTTAATATTTGAATTGTATAAATAATGTACCTATCTATGTGCATTTAAGGTATAATGCTGTGAAGTTATGGCAGCAGCTATTCAGATACTTTTAGTGAATGTTATCAGTGTCTATATATGTTAACTCATTTCCCTAGTTTTGCCTGCAAAATATCTTCAGATAATATATCCATATTACTTTATTAACAAGTATGTATGCTGCGGTTATAGCCTTCACATATATCATCAATTAATTAAATATTATAGTGAGAAAAATATGTGGGTCCTCATAACCTTACAATTAACGAAAAACAAATTGGTACAAATTCTGGATTAATAATAGAATTTTTTCACTTTCACATTCAGAAAATCCACGCAATATCCATCTCTATTTACATGGCGGTCTTCTTCATTATCATAATAACAATAAAGTCAACATTAAAGTGCATATTAATACGACTAATTAAACACACATCGGCATTTTCATTATTAGAGTAAATAACAAATTAACATGAAAATTCATGTCATATTAATACGCCTATAATTAAATAAAATATTTGTAGATGCTGTGACTTAAGTATGTTTAAAAATGCAAAGGTGGTGACCCTCAGTTATAAAGAAAAAATCTAATTCACAAATATCCAAAAATGTTTAATTCGGTATAAGATGTTAAAATTTCTAAAGTTGTTTCTTATGTACATTTTGATCAGAGGAATTACATATATTTTAATAAAATAATTTTTTTTCCTAAAAAGTGAATTAGGGAAATCAAATTTATCAGGAAACTATTACCTTATGTGTAATTTTACTTTATTTTGTTACTGTACAAGGTAATTTTACAATGATCATAACTTTATAATACAATTTTTATTAGTTATAGTTTCTTTTTCTTAAAATTAGCTATAAACAAGAAAAATGGTGGAAGTTGGCATAGTTATTTAACTAAAGTAAAGAGCGATTAAGGTTGTATAAAATTAAGTTTTTAAAGAACAAATGTTTTTTATGTTTTATTATTAATTAGTAATTCATAAATAAATAATGCAGTAAGGGAAGTTTTCGTTTAATTACGGTCTATAGGATTTTTGTTGTTATACGTAATTGTCATCTGAAAAAAATAAAAGCCATCAATTTGCTAAGGGGTAATGCTTAAAAAAATAGTAATAATTTATTTTCCAAATAATCTAGTAAGTTTATTCTAGATTTATTAAATTGCTGGTAAAAATTGCTCGTTATCCAAAAATAACAAAAGACATCTTTTTTCTTGAAGATTAATAAGAAATCAAATATATTCATGGAATTCCTTAAAATATTCAACGTTAAACTTCTGCCAATTTTAGTGCCACTATCACCCTGTAACTCCACTGGTGGTTAGACATAATTGTCCAAAAATTCAGATATTTTTTTTACCTTTTCTTGTAACTAGCTTAGTTTCGTTAGTATACGTCTGACATTTTCAAAGATATTTACGGAAATGTTACGTTTTCAAAACGTAAGTTGTTTAGGTCATACTCGTGCGAACTTTTCCTTTTAACATATGTCAATTAATCACCTTCTGTAATTGTTTTGCATACTTCAGTTATACCTATTATACATCTGGATAAAATTGTACCATTTGAATTTATACAAATATTAAAAATTCAGTTTAAATTTTACATAGATCAAACTCTAATGACATCATATTTGATTTGTAATTAAAAGATCGGTCATGATTTCTATTGGTACAATTTTCAGGAAATATCAAACTATTTCCATATTATGTGCGAATATCATTAAAATTTTACACAAGCAAACAAAATCCAATAGTAATTTTTAATTCTAAAACGATCATCAAAGATTAGTTTTCTTCGAATTTTATGAAAAAAAATTATATTTTGGAACAATTCTGAAAGTGTGTTACAATGTCGCCACTACACCCTGCATTTAGCATTATTTAACTTTCATTTCATTTAATTTCCTGCATTCATGCCACAATTAATTACACAGGCATACAAAAAGTTATCTATTTGTATTTTAACCTCCAGAAACAGAATCTGCCATGGGAAATGCTCCATCATCTTCATTTTTTTTTAATTGCCACACACCCTGAAACTTACAGAGCTCCCTGCATTCAGTAGGTTCCTTTATAGATATAGCTTTAGAGACGAGTCAACGCATCATACTCGTGGAGCTCATTCTATTGGATTGGATTTTCAAGGGCTCGACCAACCCTTGCAACCCTTCAGTTTCGGGTGAACACCAAGAAACCGCTTCTACAACATAAAAAGCAGCTATTCATGTCACAAACTCAAATCACGAATTTACATCCCGGAGACAAAGAGTTTACAAACATAAATTCCTAGCCTACTAACACTACACATAGTACGATACCTTCACCTAATACTGCAGATACTCGACGTACAAATATGATTATACAATGAAGAGATATACGTACGGAAAGAAAAAAGAAACAAAAATCTTCAGCAGGGGTCATTTGAAGATTCAGTAGACATTACAAAAGAATTTATCTGTGCATTGCGTGGGTAAATTGTACGCATGTAGTATGTGGGTCTATGGAATTTAGGTCCATGATCAAGTAAGTTAGCTTTATTTACTTGCCTGCAATGTAGGATGTGTAGATATCGCTGTCTTCGGACTGTCATCTGGTGGTTTGAATTTGTGACTTAAATCCGCTGAATATAGAATACTAACTTAGTTTTAGATTTTAATGATGACCAGGAGCTGAAGGGTTACAAAAGTTGATTGAGTCTTTGTAAACTCAAAAAATTCAATGTGCCTTGAAGACAAACCTACTAAAGCAGAGTTTTTGATTTGGGGTGGTTATCGGTGGTTAAAAAAAATGAAGGGTTAAGAAATGTTTTCAAAGGCAGATTCGCTTTCTGAGAGTTAAAATACATATGGTGGTATTGCTTTTGTGTGCCTACGTTATTTTCGTCTACTAGATTCGCATCACTAATAAATTCCTTTTTACAGATATTCAATAACGAGACAAGCCTTATTCGCGCGCAAACGGCGTCTCTCCTGAGACGGATTCACGATCCCGTGCCCCGCGTTCCGAGGTTCAGCTGGCCCCTTTCAGTGACATCGAAGTAAGTACTCCTAGTTTTTAGACATTAATTATTACTTGGGAGAAAAGAAATTTATTTTCCGTGTAGCAAAACATTGATTCTGCCTGGAAGATAGATTTCAATATAATTATCGAAAGATAAGAGAGATAGATAATCTCTCATTTCTCAAATTGGTACGACTTTAATAGAAAAATTGTTTGCCCTGCTTAACAGGCTAAACATTTTAAATTTTAGTGTTTATTAATTTGTTCGTTGACTTAAGATGAAATCATAAGGATAATTATCTACAAATTATTTTAATAGCGATATGCATTTATATGCCTTAAGAGAAATCCATTTTTAACTCATTTTGATTTCTTCTTAGAAACAAATGATGTTAACATCAGTTGCTGCCAATTTTGATTTTTCTTTGGGGAAATAGACAAAAATTTAACATTTCAGTAACTCCATTTATCGAGAAAAATTGGTGGATGAAAATCGCATCACGATATTTTGATTCATTTATGAGAAAACGATTAATACTTTTAGTTCTTTTCTGACGACGAATAACTTTTTGATTTGTACAAAGAGGTTTCTTATTCATTTTTTTTTTGCATCTGGTGACGTGCGCAATATTTTTCTATAATTTTCCAATTATAATCCAACCTTATACACTCTAAGAAAAATTGGACTTATTTTCACTCAATTCAGTCAATAATGTATTTATATAATTTCTGTCCACACCTGATTGAGTGAAATTTTCATATATTAGTACCTATGAGTACAACTAAAATTTTATGAATCTATCAGTTTTAGTTCAAATATTATCAATATTGTGTAAAACTATCAATATGGACAATATTGACTGAAAATGTACTCAATAATTTCACACAATGAGACCGATTTATTTACAGTGTTTCTTTGGTTCCTTTTTAAATTGCAGGTGATATTTTTTAATTACGAAAATTTTGAAAATTGAAAGATATGTAGAAGTTCATGTTTAAATATGAAGAGGTTATAGAAATCTCAGAAATAAAAAAGTTAATCGACACCAGAACTCCAAAAAAAAAAAATATACAATAACTTTTTACTAACCCAAGAGGAAACAACTATAACTAACCACATCCAAAGCCAAAATTGACCGTTCTTCTTCGACAATAGACCTTTTTAGAGTGACGTCACATATTTAGGCAACCCGCAACAAATTGACATAGTTGAAATTGTAGAGACCGAATCTGACCATTGTGTACTATTTATATAGATACTATAAAAATAAACAACTTAAAATTAGAATAACTAATACGTGTTTCGTAAAATAGACACACTAATGTGCTTAAAACTTACAAAAAACGAAAATTCCTAAATTTAAATAAAGTAAAAATTTAACATTAGCCGTGTTATTCCTAATGCTCATGCTTGGAAAGAATAGCCTCATACGCAGGTGAGATCTTGTTGATATGTTATCGCTGTCATCATTAGCGTATTTTCTCTTATTTTGTTTAATCTTGGCATTTTATATTTTTACTTATTATTTTTATTGTCATTCTTGGTGTTGTACTGTGTCAGTGTGTTTATCGAGTGTTTTTTTCTTCTAGTGGTTTATTATAGACGTACTCTTAACCACAACCAAACTTTTCCTGGATCCTGTTGCGAGGCTAGTTCGCTTACATGAAATTATGAAATGCGCGTGCTCAGTAACATTGATGTAATTTTAATTTATTAATTACTATAAAAAGTCAATATGTTAAATATATAAATTCTATAATTCTATTAGTTTGTCACTTGGGGTTTGAAACTTCTTAAATATTTCTGATATTGCCAGAATCTCGCGATATTTAAGATCATGACAAAGAAACCATTTTTTGGTACATAAGGTCGAAAATCAATTTAGAAAAAATATTGAGAAATTCTTCATGACAATATGCACTATGGGATTGCCTATTATTTGACGTATGTGACGTCACTACTAAAAAGGTCTATTAACCACAAAATAGCATATTATTGAGATGAATCATCAGTAGTATCGAAAAATGAAGAATAATCGCACCGTAATTTTTTATCCAAATCACTGAAATTATTGTAACGAATAGCGTCAATGAAAAATTAATCCTTCTGCGGAATATCGATAATACGGTTGACTTTTAAACGACACGTGGAAAGCAATCTAGGGTTCGCCTCTTTCGTACGGAAAATGAAGAGACGTGGAAAATTGCCTTTAAGAATCCATTTATAATATTTTTATTGGCTTCTCTTTGAATATCAAATTTCTAAATTAAAAAGCTTTTTAAACGAGTATGAAATATAGATATGTTCGAGAAATTTCAAATCCTTCAAATAAATTTAATTTACGTATTTGATTTTTTGTGGAAGAGAAGCTGTATGGTATTGAGCATTTATATAGATAAATATGAAGTGAAATTTTAAATGAAATAACATTAATTCCAAGACATGTCATACCAATGAAAACCAGACTTACTCTGTAATTTTATGTAGAGTTGGTTTTTCGTTGAACTAAGTCAATTTTTTTCTCATCAGTATGCATTTTGACATCAAATATCAAGTCGTTACCCCCACCATAAATTTTATATAGGTAGATAGTTAAAGGATGCATCATTCAAAAGGCTTGTTTTCACCCTCGATGTCTTTTTTTTAACAATTTAGTAGTTTTTCAGAGGTAGCTGATTTTTTTAATGTGAAACTAGAATAAAAATATATATATTTAATTCCCCATTTAGGCAAAGTAAAATGAAACAAAATTTTTTAAAACAACTTTAACTATTCATTATCGGTATCTGCTCTGTAAAAAAATTATTAAATAATACTTCAACAAAAATTCTACGCATTTTTATTTAAAAAAATTTAATGTAGTAATTAAAAAAGTAAGTAATAAGTAATAATAAATATTTTTTTTTGTTAACATGTGTTGAGTAAAAATTTTTATGATTTTTTATATAAAAAAACTATACTATATAAGGAAAAGTTGGGGTACGGGGGTCAATAAGTATTATGACGTTCCCCCCTTCACGCAACGATTTTTTTACCAAAATTATACGAAAGACATGACAACATAAGGTAAAAGTCTGTGGCAAAATTTCATTTGAATGTCTTAAAAAACAAAAGAAATTTTTTTAATTAAATTTTTACATCCTGTATCTTGAAAAATAAGAATAGGTTAAGGGACGTTCCATTATTTTCACTAAAATAATCTGTGGTTAACGGCTTGACTTTTTGAAACATCCTATATATTGTTGCCGTCACATGTTACCATGTGAGACATTGAGATGATAGGTGGATGCATAATAAATACAATTATATAATAATCTGTAAAAACACTTTGACAGCGACTCTAAAATAATGGGCTTTCCTTAAGCCTGCTGATTAGACGGTAAACTTTTTGTCAATTGAAGAAAAATACCATATACGTGAGTACGCGAAATAAACTAAATAAGAAATTTGAGAAGAAGAAAGAATTTACTGGAAAATAAAGAATATATGAGTATATTTGTATTTTAAAGGTACAACATAGACAAATTATTATTTTTAGACAAGAATAATAATAATTAAATCTTGTAGTGCTTAGTTGTGAATCTAATTAAATAATTTATCACACTGAAAAGGAAAAGAAATTAAGTTTATACTTAAAATTTATAAAATTTTTAAATAATAATTATCTCATGTAGCTAAAAAGGTTGATTTTGTAAACTTATTTTTGTCTAATCAGGAATATTTCACATTGAGAAAGTAGATAACTGTGATTTCATTATAAATACTGTTAAGTCTAAATAAATCAATAATCAAAAATTCAGTAAACGACTTTTTGTATTTTATACGTAAAAGGAAAATACCTTTAAAACAGTATTCAGCTGTATTCAAATGGAAAATATTAAATCGCGACACTAATTTTGTTATTAAAATTTTTTTTAAGGATAAAACACGCAAATATGTTGCAAAATATTAAGGTTAACCTTCAATTTGTCATTAGATGTTATTAATTTGTGTTTGCAGGGATGTAACATTATAGAGTAAACTGATTTTGACATGATAGAATTGAATTAGAGCGTATATAGATCTACGACTAGATTTTTTGTATATTATAACAAGAAAAAACTTAACTTGACCTAACTTAACTTTATGTTACATATTATAAAAAAAACATAACCTGATCTAAGCTAACTTTATGATCTAACCTAACTTCTATCTGTTTATGTAAAGTTAAGTTAGGTTAGGTTAAGTTTCTCTTTGAATGTGTTTACCTAATCCAACATTATGCATACATCTGAAAGGTAGGGTTCTTCTTTGTATGTGTTACATAAAAAAAACTAAATCTAACCTAACTTTGTGTAGGTGTATACAGTCCAATTAGTAAGTTTCCCAAAAGTTTTGTTTCGCAAATTTCATTTTTTATTAGAAACCTGAATTTACTACTACTTTTTTATATCAAATCTAAATTAAAAGTTAAATATGTATATCCCAAGGTGCGATTCTAAACTATGAATAACGCGAGTTTTGTCAAAATATTGATTTAGCAAAAAGCTTTTCACTAAATGTTTACCTATTTTTTATATATTTTTAAGTAATGTGATTTAATTGTTCTCTTCAGAGTAAAATATACTATAAAATGTCACAAGTAAATAATTACGAATAATATCAGAATGCATTTAAAGATGAGTAAAAAATAAGTTTTATGTTTGTCAGTTTTCGAAAAATTGTTACGTTGTTTTAGAAAAAATTAAAAAAAACTGTCAGGAAAATTATAAAGAAATAAAAAGCTTTAAATTAATTATCCCATCATTCAATAATACAATGTCTTCTGACATGAACAAGTTTTAAATATATCTGAATTATTGCATTTAGGAATAAAAGGCGTTTATTTTTTTATAATAATTTGTCCTGTTCAAGAATTACATATTGTTTATTTGAATTTCTGAAGAAACAGATTTAGATTTGATTTTCAAAAATAAAGCATGATATGAATATTGTGTACACGATAAAAATATCCACTTTTCAAATGATTGATTCAAATTTGCATTTAAATTTTTTTG